TTTTTTTTTTTTTTTAAATAGAGGTGTAACCTTAAAATAAGATGACCCATTTCATGACTGTGACTTTAACAGTATGGAATTATTTTACTGCTAAAGGGTACAGGTAAAGGGCTCTGGGAGAATCAGGTGTATACAATCAGGCATCAGTAACTGATCCCCGGCATAGATCAGAACCCTGAGCAGCTGTGAGCGACCAGCTGGGACTCTGGAGCGCCTTCCTACACTGTCCCGTGAGCGTCTGCACAGACACTACGTGGACATACATCCGGAGGGAAACACTGCTCTAATAAAACCTTCTAAAGAAGACAGAAGTAAAGCAGACCAGCAGGAGAAAAAACGGATATAAAAGCATACTGATTTTATGCAAACATCTGAAATGTCCCCAGAAGGGAAAACGCTTCATTTGCATAATAAAGTTGCTACTTATTTGGATACTTAAACAATAAACTCCATCGTATTAGTGCTACTGGCAATTGTTGGCAGCTAAGTTTCAAATGCAAAATCCTTGCAAATGAAACTCCTCTTAGCACATCTAAAGAACAAGTGTACTTTAGCATTGGCTTTGCAACCCCAGGTGTGTCTTCTTTCTAAAGACTGAGCTCGCTGTGACGCACTATGGATAAGAGGATTCTTCTGCAAGCTTTACAAATCATTTTCCACTGGGTGTGTGCAAATAAATTAGTCCACATGTTCAAAAACTGTTACCACTTTACTTTTTCAACATTCAAAACAATTTTTTTAAGTAGACTCCACGCCCAACGTGAACCCCTACACGGGCCTTGAACTCAGGACCCTGAGTTGAGATCAAGAGTCGGATGCTTAACCGACTGAGCCCCCCAGGTGCCCCAATGTTTTAAAATATTTTAAAACTGTTCCAAGGACCCGCGAAGACCCAGAAAAATGTGCTTTGTCTTGCCTGTTTTTGTTTGCTTGCTTGTTTGTTTCTTTAGGGAGTTTGTGGATGAAGTCAGCTCTAGCTCTGACCTTTGGTAATCCAAAGACTTATTGCCAGTTCTGTGCTGGGAGCGATAGATTTAAGAAACAGATGGTGGGAACAACACAGACTTCTGAGAAATATCTAGGGAAGAGACTCACAGACTTGCATCACGGCCACTTCCTTTCTTTTTAACTTTTAAGTGTTCTATTTAACTTCAGTTTGGATCTTGATGAAAGTGAGAACAGAGGGAGCGACATTCTCACAGTGGCCCTAATTGAGATCCACCAGGAAAGAATATATAGAGGAATTAGGCATTAGCGTTAGGAAGATTTAAGTCTTTGTTACATAGAACGGGCCATTTCATGATTAGCCCTGATTACGGCAAATTTCCAAGAAATCAAGGCGTCCGAGCTCGTCCCAAGAGCTCCGCTAATGCAGTGAAATGCCAAGAAAAATCAACAAAGTCAGATAAAGATAAATGGCAATTGGTCGTAATTACAGGGAGTATAAAATAGTTCAGAGCATCTTAAAATCCCTAAGAAGTCTTTTTCTTTAAGACAGAAGTTCAATGCCTCTGTTGCTAACGACCATGCGGTATCAAGTGACTATTAACGTCCTACCACATATAAGTCATGGGAATACACCTGACAGAAAGTGGGAAGGCACAGAAACTCTTTGCCTAAGCATTTCAGCATTACAACAGGAGATAAGATAAATACTCATATTGTGACGAAGAACTTGTAAGTGGCACTGGAGGCTATTAAGGAATGGATGGGAGCTTCGAAGTAGAAGAAATCACTGGTGATTATGGGACTCAGGAATGACCTTATAAAAACGCTGGTGATTATGGGACTCAGGAACGACCTTATAAAAACGCATTAGCTCTGGGCTGTGAGGACTGAAGCAAAAAACACTCTCCTTTTCAAAGTGTCAAACAGAAATGCAAATTTATGTAACTGTTTACATCCATCAGCATCTTAGAGCAGGAGCCCCCTTTCTGATGGCCAGGGCTGTATCTGTGTTCCGCAGGGACCTGACCATCATCTGGTCACTGAACATGGTTTATGTGATTAAATTTATCTCACCCATGGTTGACCAGTTTTTAAGTGTGTGTAATTTCTCCTTGTCTATAAAAACACAGTGATACCATTCATGGGACCACTCATATCAAGCAATCTAACCTGGACAGACAATGTATGAAACAATAGACACCCTGCACAAATATTATGTATCATAATTAAAAATGTTACATGATTTTGGAGGATGGCTTTTCTCTGCATGATTGCATTAAAGTAAAGGAAAAGCTCATCCCAGCTGTGTGTTCACCCTTCTTTTGCTTTTTTCACTCTAGAGGTGGTTCCCAAGACAAGTATTGGCATCCACTGGAGGACAGGAACCAAAATAATCAGATGACAGCTTCCCCTGAGACTCTCCCAATAAGGACACTGGCTCAGAAATTTTGATAGAATTGATGAGAAGTGAGTGAGAAGGGCTTTTCAGGAGAATTTAGTGATGTTAACAATCTTTCAGGGATGAGAATTTGCAGAGTGTCATTTTGTAGATGCTGGGTAGATGTCTTCCCTTACTTCTTCCGGCTGGTTCAGCCTCCTCTACCCACCAGCTAATGCTTATCATTGCTTGGACACTTACCTGTAATCATGCACATGCACACGCACATACGCACATGCATACACTCACACAAAAGGTACTATTATTGCCCAAGAAGAAAAACCACAGAAGAGAACAACTTACCTGAAAACGTGATGTTGAAGCCCTCGTAGGAAATGGAAAAGTCTGATATGAACCGAAGCTGGGCGGTGAAGTTTCCAAACAAACCTGCCTTAATAGTGTGAGGCAGGACAGACCCTGTGAGTCTGGCCACGGGCTCCGTGAAACTCCCATCCTCTGTGATCAGTAAATAGTCGTGGGAACTCTCAAGGTGGAAGGTGTGAAAGATCATCTGAACACCTGAGAGGCACAGAGAGAGTGAGAGAGGGGGAGAGAGGGAGGAGGAGAGAGGGAGGGGGAGAGATCAAGGGGAAGAGGAAAGGAGGGGGAGGGGGAGAGGGAGAGGTAAGGAGAGGGGGAGGAAGGGAGGGAGGGGGAGGGAGAGAGGAGAAGAGAGGGAGGGGGAGAGAGAAGGAGAGGGAGAGGAAGGGAGAGATATCAGTGAACAGCTGAGGAAACATATTTTCTTCCAGGCTTAGAGACACCAAACTCTTGAATCAAAATGTAATCTTAATATGCAAGTTTCAATGTGCAAGTTAATATGCAAGTTTCAATATGCAAACTTAATACGCAAGTTTCAAAGGAAAATGCAGGGAATGGATAGACAGAGTGTATTTAGAAATGAAAGAAGGGGATAAATAGTCAAAATAAATGCGTCAGTATATATAAGTAGAGGACACGGATGGATTAGACATAGGATCATAGGTCTAGACAAGGACACAGATTCTGAGTCGGACACAGAAATTCAAGTACAACGTGGCTGGATGTTTACGGTGGATCGCACGTAGGGATGGTCACTAGGAAACGTTTATCCTAGAGGGATGAAGGGCCAGATAATTTTCCCATTTATATTTAACAATTATCCTTTATAAAATCTTAGGTTGGACGTCTAGCATATAACTTATACAACTCAAGGAAGAATTCTTTGAAATCATAGTTTTATGTTTCTCTTATGCATATGTTCTCATATTAACCATATCAACAAAGTATTAATGGATTCCTATGGTAGAAATAATAAAATCAACTATGAATAGCTCCTTTTAAATAAAAATACTAATTTTTATGATGACAAATTCTTGGTCACTCACAATTTGTTCCTTCTTTATTCTTAATTTCCTTCAAGGAAATCCTTTTTCTTTTCTTTTTTTTTTTAAGAGAGAAAGAGCATGCAAGCAGGGATGGTGGGGAGGGACAGAGGCAAAGGGAGAGAGAGAATCTTAAGCTGAGCATGGAGGCTGACGTGGGGCTCCATCTCATGACCCTGAGATCATGACCTGAGCCAGGATCAAGAGTGGGATGCTTAAACAACTGAGCCACCCAGCCACCCCAAGGAAATTCTTAACATGCATTCATGATACATGTTAGCATAGTGTAATATGGGGTACATAATCAAATATGTCAATTTAATATCAAATTGAGTTCAAATCTAAGTGTAAAGACAATGTCTCCATGATATGTAATTAGAATTTCATACTATTTCCTTAAAAATGGCAAACTCGGTCCTACAGAAAAGACCCAGGGCACAGTCCTAAATCCAGGATTTATGAACTACATTTCTTGCACAAATTACCATTTTCATGGCCTTTACTATACTTGCCTATAAAATGAAGATAATGAAATCTGCTCCATAAATCATCACTGGATTATGAAGATAAATGATTTATTATGTCTAATAATACTGAGTAAATTTAGAACCCAAGGAAAGTACACAAAGTCATCTTAGGGGGCGCCTGGGTGGCTCAGTTAGTTGGGTGTCTGCTTTCGGCTCAAGTCATGATCTTGGGGTGCTGGGATCAAGCCCCACATCAGGCTCCCTGCTCAGCGGGAAGCCCACTTCTCCCTCTCCCACTCCCCCTGCTTGTGTTCCCTCTCTCGCTGTGTCTCTCTCTGTCAAATAAATAAACTCTTAAAAAAAAAAGTTATCCTAGATTTATCATCATGGAAATGAATAGTTTAGATAATTTCTTATTTCCTTTGATTTAATTGACATTTATGTCTTATCTAATGCATACCTCTTTTCCTTACCATCATACCTGCTTTTCAAGCATATATTCAAGCATACCTACTTGCAGAAATCCAAGATACCTGATTGAAAGTAAAACAAGGAATCTACCTTTATGGTAACATCAATCATTTTAGACCATTTTTCTTCTAAAATAATATAAAACATCAAAATTAACAGTTAAAATATATGTGAAGAAATTAGTTAACTCATTACACACACACACACACACACACTTTTTTCTTTGTTCTCATGTTTGTAACTTATTTATTATTCTGTACATATAAAATCTGTGTAATATCCTTACCCTTTCCATGAGACACTTCAATGGTCCATGTACAGTTTAGAGAGTTTGGGTAAAAATCTGGAAACCCAGGAGAAAGGACTGTTCCACTCTTTCCATGGATGTAACCTCCACAGAGGGCTTAAAACGATAAGGAAAATGATTGTTGTAGTATTAAAGTTTCACAGTGATTGCTAGAATAAAGTACTTTTAAAGTAACATTTACTTTGCACAAGGACTAAAGGAATATCAAATATCACCTCTATGAAAAATAAAAGAAAACCGAAACTTCATTTTACTCACAATTATAATATGCCATAGAAAGGTGTTCTAAACTGTACAAAACTTAGCGAAATAACACAGCATAAGGTAATAATAATGCAAAATAAGCTGGAGTGGAATTTTGTGTGGCGACTTGACTGGGCCATGGGATTCCCAGCCATTTCTGTGAAGATGTGTCTGGATGAGATTAACATTTGCATGGGCGGCCTGAGCAAAGCAGACTGACCCCCCTAATGTGGGTGGGCCATGCCCAATCAGTTGAAGGCTTGAATTGAATAAAAAGGCTGAACCTTCCACTTTGAACCCTTTGAACTGGGGTGTCAGTTTTGTCCCTCCCTTTGGGCTTGAGCTGAAATGCTGACTCTTTCTGAGTCAGGAGCCTGCCAGCCTTCAGACTCGAATTACACCATCGGTTCTCTTGTGTTTCTAGTTTGTCCATTGAAGGTCTTAGGACTTGACAGCCTCATAACCAGGCGAGCCAATTCCTTATAATAAATCTCTCTCCCTCCCCCCCCTTCCTTCCTTCTTCCCTTCCTCTCTCACTCTCTCTCTCTCCACACACACACACACACACACACACACGCACACACATGCACACACATCCTACTGGTTCTGTTTCTCATGACAACACTGACTTATACAATCAGAGCTTCAGAAATGGTGCAGGTTTGGGCGCCTGGGTGTCTCAGTCGTTAAGCGTCTGCCTTCGGCTCAGGTCATGATCCCAGGGTCCTGGGATCGAGTCCCGCATTGGGCTCCCTGCTCGGCAGGAAGCCTGCTTCTCCCTCTCCCACTCCCCCTGCTTGTGTTCCTGCTCTCGCTATCTCTTTCTCTGTCAAATAAATACATAAAATCTTAAAAAAAAAAAATGGTGCAGGTTTGCATTTTTTAGAGCTGCTGCTCTTAGCAGCTCTTCAGTTGATTTCAAACCTCATCAACAAAATCTGGCCTGTTCAAAATGTCTTGGAAATCCATTTTTGAAGGAAGAAAAAAAGCTATATATAATCATTTGAATGGGGAAGTAGAGACATTTAGAGAATCAATGTAATAAGGAAGATTCAGTTCTCTGTTACCATGTCCCCTCTATGCACACATGTATTCACGCTTCCTTTTTGGAACTAGGTAAGATTATCATTAAATGACTGATACCTGAAATATTTTTTCTTATTAATATGAACATCTTGAACTGTGTCTCCTCAAAACTAGTTCCATAAGTAATATTTGCAGAAGAATTAGTTAATTTGTTGAAAGATGTGATACTTCCCATCATGCTCACTCATCGTAGGTTTTAAGGGAGCAGAATATGTCTTTGAATATGCAAACCACATGGGGAGAGTTATATAAAAATCAGCAAAACAGAAACTTTTTGAGTGAGTTCTGGAATATTTTACCAGTGTAAGATTTTCACATCTCAAAATTACATTGACTCTACATTTCATTATGAAGGAGGTAAAATTAATATAACATTTGGAATTAATTCATTCAACAAATAGACACTGCCCTTGGCACTGGAAATGATTAACAAAATAGACAAAAATTGTTGCCTTCATGGAGTCAAAAATCCAGTTGAAGAAGAGAGACTGTGCCCGTAATAATGTAAAGAGCTGATTATACATGATGTTGGAAGATGATAAGCACCAGGGAAATAAAGGAAGAAGTAAAGAAGAATAGGATATTCTCTGAGTTGTGTGGGGTGGGGACAATCTAGGGCAGGTGGTCAGGGAAGCGTACTTGCAAAGTGGCCTACGAAGAAGCACTTGAGACAAATGAAGGAGCCACTGGATACCTGGAAAGAACTTGCAGGGAGAGAAACGCCCAAGGACAGAGGCCTGAGTGGGCCTGTGCGTGGGACAGGTCGCAGGACAGAGGGGAGGGGAGGGAGCATGAGCAGTGAGGTTAAACAGTTCCCGGACAGTAAGGGCCTTGTCACTTGTGTGAGTGAGATGTAGGAGCCGTGGAGGCTGCTGTGTGGGCAGGGCAGGTGCTCACAGGGCGTCCGCCTGGTCACTGGTGCTGTGTGAGAATCAGGGAGGGTGGCAGAGGGTACGGCAGGTAGGACTCTCGCCGGGGATGTGGCTGCAGACGTGGTGGGAAGTGGTCAGAATCTCTCCATCGTCTGAAGGCAGAGCCACGTTGGTGTTTTCATGACTGGGATGTGGGCATCATGACATGACTGTGAGGTCTTAAGCCTGAGTGTGAAGGAACTGAAGGGGAAGGGAGACTTTGGGCGAAGTGGGTTTTGGGTATAAACCAGTTCAGTTTCAGATCCATGAAGCTGGATGCTCCTACATACCCATGGCAAGTGGACATACAAGTCTGACCAAGGGACAGAAGAAGAGCACACGCAGAGGTGACCATCGATGCGTGGCTTGTGGGTGTGGCTAGGGGAGCAAAAGCCTGGGCCCTTCCAGTGGTAAGCAGCTCAGGGAGGTGAGGAGCTCCAACAAAGGGAAGGGGAAAGGAGTGGCCATGGAGTGGGGCGAGAACCAGGAGACCATGCAGCCCCCAATACAGAAGCTACATGTCCATAACCTTCATCTGTGTATGATTGGATCCTTGTAAGTCAGGACATTAGCTTCTCAAATATTTATCAAGGATTTAACCATAATGAATGAAAACCATTTGATGTAAAACTGAGATATCATATATACAATTATTTGTAGTAATCTTTACCTTAAAATCTGCATGTGCTGTAGAAAACTGGTAAAAATGAATTTCTATCCAGCTACATTTAAAATCTATAAAATTTATCAATCTCTGCTTCATCCTCTGTCTTCATGCCATCAAAATAAAACTGATGATTATATACTGGGGAGAAGCATGGAGGAAAGGCATCTGACCACTGATATTTTCCTTCAACTCAATGCACAATCCAGAAATCACCAAATAACACCATCAAGCTGCCATTTAGGAGCAAAGTAAGAAAGTTATAGATAAAGCAAATCCACGGTTCATTTTGAGTCATATATGTGCAAAGGCAACATAGTCTAATTCACCCATTATGAAGGTTTTTAAATGAAAATCTTCTCATCCACACTCTGTTTTTACGGTCTGCGTCAGTCTCTGACCATATTCACACACAGACATGTCTGCATTCCCCCCAGGAGAGCGACAGACAGCGCTGCACATAATCTGAATGACAATCGTCTGTTTCTTCCTGCAACGCAGAGTCTTTTCTGGGTAGTTGTACAAAACACGGTAAACTTTTACATTTGCTGTCCTTAGGGCTATAATTTCTTGAATTCTACTTTTCTATTTCTATTCTGCACCCACCGTTACAGACCCAGAGACGTTATCCTAGAACTCTCTTGGGCAGAGAACACAGGTGTACAGGGACTAGGGGAGATGAGAGAGGTGAACATCTATAGCAGTCTTGCCCAGGAGAGCTGATGAACCACCCAAACAGGGTCAACTTCTGCCTTTAGCTCTCTGCTTTGACCCACTCACCCACCCAAACCTCCATCCAAAATAATTTCCAGAGGAAGTTACTACTGTTTTCCAAGCCCTCCTGTTTGCTCTTGAGCACACAACAATAAGTAACACAGACAAGTCCCTCTTCCAACGTTCACGTCCAAGCGGACAAGGCAAATAATTTATAGAGGTAACTGAGCATGACTTATTCTAAGAACAAGAATCTTCACTGGTTCTCAGAACTCAAAGGCAGTCTAGGTGATTAGAGTACAGTGGGCTGGTGGGGCTGCCCAGTGATGGCCACGTGTCCATCCGTGCATAGGTCCGCTCCCAGGATGTGGACTGTTGCGTAGGCAATAGAAGGATGGAGGGAGTGCAGACTCTGAGTCGACTCCATGTGCATGGACTGCTCTGTGATGGGCTGTCGGCAGCCAGTGTACTGCAGGGTCTTTGGTGGCGGAGGACAGTGGGGCTCCTGGTGTCCCAGGCAAAGCCCACAGACTGCCCATGGATTGTGCAGGTGTCCACTTCCCATCACCTGATTCTCGCTCTCACCTGCCAGACGCTGGCAAAGGTCCTGTAACGCATTCCAGTGTGCAGACAGCTATTTCGTAGAGCCCAAACCCTGGCTTTAATGTTTATTTCTGTATGACTCCTCTGCTGGAACTAGTGGCAGGCAAGAGAAAAGCATGTAGACAACACCCTAGGGGTCAGAACTTTTGCACTCGGGAGGCGACAGAGCCAGAGGAATTGAGGGCTGACAGATTCTCCTCTCTCCTGGGAAGAAACCTTTTGTTTCCACAGCACCAGCTCTAACAACAAACCCAAGAGATCTCAAGTCCACATGGGAATCACTGGCTTCCTTCTCAAGGCCCAGCTGAATCTCCCACTGCTTGCTAAGGCTCTCCGAACGTAACTTTTTTACCACAGCCCTGTCTTCATAAAGGCACCTGTGTTTCTCACTTGTCGTACTTTCTGAAACTGGTGCGTTTCTCTCTTGTCTGATTCATGCCCCAGTTCCTGACCTCCTGCCTCTTCCATAAAGAGATGAACTGTGGGAGCCCACGGTATCCTGCCTGATTTGTTTGTCTTTTGTTTTTCTCCACTTTCCTTGTTTGCTTTAAAGTGCTAATAAAATTCTATTTAAAGTAAAAACCTAATGGGGTGGTATTCTATTTCCAATTATCCATGGACTCTCTATGTCCTAAAGAGTTACTGATTTTATTCCTCTATTCATCCATTTAAACTAGAATTTTTCCCCAAAAGAAATTTTACAAGGAGACCCTACCAATAAAAGGAGGAATAATTTAGAGCTGCTCAATTAAAGCACAGGATGTGCTCCAAGCCCTGCCATCATCCTCAGCTTTTCCTCACAGAAAGCTCGAGCCCCACTTTGGGAATATGGCACCCTCCAGTTTGGAATCTCGCCAATGGAACCAGGTCCATGC